CTCGGATCCTCTCCCCCAGCCAATGCATCGGATGCCCAAAGTCGCAGTCGTTCTTCGAGTCAAAACAATACCTCTAGTTCCTCGTCCTCTCCTCTTATCACGCAGTTGTCCAAACCGAACAAGGTCACACAGTCGACTGGAGCGATCAAAACCAACGGAGTTACCAAGTCAACGGAGTCCGTGAATCCTTTGAAGCGCAAGGCAGAGACAGACCGGCCACCTGCAATTCAGTCCAAGACGACTGGCCGCACAACCGGCAACCTAGAACACAAGCGGAGGCGAGCAGTCAGTACTTCGAGTGGCAGCACTGGGAGTGCGTCGCCACCTCTCAGTCGTGAACTACTGCGCCAGCAATTACGAGAGAAGTCGCAGAAATTCAAGCAGTACTATGCCAAGTATCGTGCACTACATGATTCCATGGCTTCGCATCCAGACCCACCGCGGGCGGAGTTGGAGCGATTGCAACGACAGCATATTCGTCTACAACGAATGAAGAAGGAAATCTGGGACGAGCACGGACGACTCCGGGATGGTCTCTAAATGTCTCTAAAGGCCCGGAGACAAAGCAGTCCTTTGCATATTGATTGAAAATTGTTACTGAAGTCAGATACAGGTGTCTGACATTTGAGACCCTATTTTTTGCACGCCTATAATCTTCATACAGCTTATTGCATATGGAAGCATAGTGAAGCAAGCTTTTCTTTTTCTTTTTCTTTTTCTTTTTTTTTTTTTTTTTCTGGGACTATGCTTTAAGGCGTTTGTGATGATAATTTCTTTCCCAGGCCTCTGCTTTTTATTTTTGATTTTGTATATTTGCATCTTTGAGGCCTATCATATCGTGCTGCAAAAGCATATGCATGTAATTGAGACAAAAGAGGATTGTTGTCACGCAAGGAGTATCTGCAAGGCGCGGGCCTTCAATGCAATGACTATTGTTAGAATCAAATAGAAGTATGAAGGTTATTTCCAGATGTAAAAGGGTTCTCGTCCATTTTCTGATATTCTCTTGGTGGTTCCTGCCGTCTTCTTTTGCTCTTCTACTCAACCCCAAAGAGACCAAAGTAATTGGACTTTTCGTGGCTTCAGACTACTGCATCTAATCCGTTTCGGTTCCAATTCGGGACTGCAAACTACGGGTTATTCAGGAATCCTTCCATTGTTACCCCTCCCTCTAGCCTTCCATCATTGTTCGTCAGATTCATTAGTTTCTTCCGCTTCTAAATGAATGCCGTTCATCATGCATTACATTGTCTTCGTTAGTTGGAAGATTGTCCCACACCATCTGTACTTCACACATCCTCTCTTTCACAGCCATTTAGCCCGGCCTCTTAGTCCCATTCCAATACGAGAGACATGGAACTTACTTACCCCGGATCAACCTAGAGCTAATCCACTAAGCCTCACTGGGCCTAGCTCCATTGTAGCGCACGTGGCTGGCCGAAAGTCCGGGATTGGGATTTGTCTGTATTGCCAGGTATTAATTACAGTGTTTCAGTACGGTAATTTAGGTAAGGTACACCACGGTACAGGCTCGACGACGTCATCCTTTGTTCAAGCCAGTCCGAAAAAGGCTTAGGACCGTTTTGTTCAGTAGGCGGTGGGCGAGGTGAGGTGAAGCTTTGAAGGGCGGAGTTTGAGCATCAACTACCTAAGTGATTGGCGTGGTTTATTCCTTTTAATCTTGTCGCTATATTAGTAAGAAGTATGGTGCGGATGTTGGTTGCGTGCTCTGAGATTGCTGAGACTGCGGATATGTTGATTTAAGTCTCTTTTTTGCCCGAGTTTCGATTAGTCTCGGAGAAGACTTGTTGCAATCGGAGACCAGAACCTGAGACACTACCTGGACCTGCGAGTGTACTCTCATCTTTGAGACAACACAATCAAGGAGGCCTTTGGGTGTCGGAGTTGATATCACGACAGGAAAGCAACAGCGACTTGCTTCGATCATGTCTCCTGCCCGTGGACGAGTGCCCGGCCAGAGAAGCCCCCACGTGCTGGTGAGCTTTCCTTTCATCGCATATTAGGCTCTTCCTATCCCATACATCAAGCTAATTATGGGATTACACGGAGTAATAGGTCACGGACTCGCGCGAGCAACAACCTCAAACTGTTCGTCGTGCCCCCGGTACACGCTTTATAACCGTCGATAACGTCCTTCAATACGCTTCCGAGGTACCCTCCATGCAACAACGTCTTCCGCCCCCGACCACAACACAACCACGGCCACGCTCTCGTCTAGCATCTGCAGCTGGCGGATTGATCGGTGCAGGAAGTAGTGCAGGTGGCTCTGGTCCCATTGGAAGCGGAAGTCGGCTGGCCAACACCGCAGCAACGATGGGACGACTTGCCGCGCAACCGCGTTTACCTCCGCGCACAACAAAAGTCAGCGAGAAGCTCGTGCTTCTGCCGGAAGCAGAGGGAGTGGAGGGGGATCTGAACGAGGAGGAAGAAGACGAGGTGGACGAGGAGTTCGTCCAGAGACTGGCCAAGGAGAGGAATCTGGATCCCGATTCTTTGCGACAGACACTCTTGACACAGAAGAGGCTTGGGGGTGATTTCGGCGTCGACAATGACATTGCTCCTTTGCTGGCCGAAGAGGAGCTGCTGCATCGACGCAAAGTTGCGCCCGAAAAGGCCAAAAGCTACGCAGAGCGGCTACCCAAGGCCCGTCGTGCTGAGAAGTTGGCGCGTGTTACTGCTTATTGCACGGCGCAGGCTTACAAGATGAGTTCGTTGGCGGCTTTTGTCAAGGACAAGCATGGCGGACGGACTAAGCTGTACGATGATTGTCTGTATACGGCGTACCATTTACCGCTGTTACCTGGTCTTGAGGGCTATCGGGTGCGAAGCAGTCCGATGGTGAAGAAACCCGGAGGCAAATCCCTTTTGGACGAAGAAATYGAGAGGAACGAGCTTCGCGACCATCATGATGACTATGTGATGGATGCAGAGGAGCATTCCGTCGGCGGCCACCATCAAAGACACGGTTCATTGCGCGATGTTAGTGACTCATTGGAGCTCGATGGCACATTGATCCACAAGTTCGACGAGGACTTACACCACTCTGAAAGTGATACAGTAGAGGATACCAACAGAGTCTCAGTCCCTGGCCCTCGGCCAGCCCAAGCATCTCCTGCCTCAACAGGGCCCGCACGCCTACCGTACGATGTCGCAGAGATGTTTGTTTTCAGCTATGGCGTAGTGGTTTTCTGGAACCTGACAGAGAGACAAGAAAAGGATCTCCTAGCCGATCTGGCATTTGCAAACTCCTCCGCCACAGGGTCCCGCATACCCCTGGCAACCATGCCCTTGGACGAAKAGGACTTTGAAACAGAAGAATTCCACTTCGAATACTCGACCGAGATTTCACGGCCACGGGTATTTAACGACATGATCACCCTGCGCAGCGGCGACCACATGATCAAACTAGCCATCAGCCACGGCATCGCGCAAAGCACCAAGCTCTGCTTCTTTGAAGAAGTCATGGCGCGCCAAATGGCCGAGGCAAAGGACGTCCCGCGCAGACTCGCCATGACAGGCAACCTGGGCATGAAGCGCGAAGAAGTCTTCCGTATCTTGGGCAAGCTCTTCAAAAGCCGCGTGGAAGTCAATCTCTGTAAGTCCATCCCCCTACTACCTCGCCCCCAGCTCCTTTCCTCAAGCTAACAAGCACACTCCGTAATAGCGTCCAACATGCTGGACGTACCCAACTTCTTCTGGGAGAGTGAACCAACGCTCTACCCGCTCTACAACGCCGTCCGCGAATACCTCGAGATCAAACCCCGGATCCAAGTCCTCAACGAACGATGCCGAGTCTTCCTCGACCTCGCGGAGATCCTCTCCGACTCTATCGCCGATAACAGAACATCCCGTGCGTCCTTCTCACTGATTAACCCATCTGACTGACTTTCTCACTAATTGGCTCCACTAGATCAAACCTGGATCATCATCGTCCTCATCCTTATCTCCATCATCGTTACAATCTCCGAGGTCTTCCTCCGCTTTGGTCTGCTCTCGGCCCGCGAAAACGCCTCTTCCATTTCCTTTGGCGCCATGCTTTTCTCTCGCGCTTCGAATCCAGCAACCTGCTCGTGTCCTGCGCAGGGTGCATTTGGCATGAATGCAACCGGGCTTGGGACGCATTATTCCTAGTCGTCTCATTTCTAATTTGCCTGACCATCATTATGCAGGTTTTCCATTACGTCTTGGCCAACATCCATATATCCGATTTCTCAGCACTGACTGCTGTGGTTTGCTAAGGCATCCAGGATCTTGTTAATATATCTCCATCTCTCAAAAGCCATCCGGCAGCCTTCGATATTTAATATGCTTCTATCATACATACAGTTGTGTATGCTCATTTACAAGGTTTCTGTGTTGATTCTTTGACAAAGGAAAAGGTACAAAGGAAATTCTGAGGGTAAAGCGAGACAAGCGATAGGGGGAATAATGTATCAACAACACAGACAAAATTAGGTATAGGGGGGATGCAAGGAGATTGAAAGCACGCAAGATAAAACCAGCAATATCGATGACAACACAGATAGAAAACAGATACCCGAATTCCAGAACCCCGTCCTACCTAGCCATGAGCCATCCAGCTCTCTATTGATGCTTCATCCTGGTCGTGTCACACATTAAGCAGAAAGAAACGAATAGAGAACACAAATAAGAGCTAGTCCGGACTCCTCCCAGCGCGCTTATGCAAGGCCTTATCAATGCAAAGTAACAGTGAACAGAAAGAAAACAAATCTGCAAGGGGAGAAGGATGATTATGATGATGAGGGATATGAGCAAAAACAAGACAAAAGGAGACGAGTAGAACGATGATACAGAGCTTCTGCTAGGAATACAAGGGGAAAAAGATGGATGGGGACAAGTGACAAAGGAAAAGCAGATATTCCGTGCGCAGAGCCATTTCGTTGCGCAGCAAGGAATTGATTCGGTAAGGCCGAACAAATGCCGGTAGATGACTGCTGTCAAATACGGGAATTCTCGCATTACACGGGAGTAGACCACCCGTTGTCCCCCAGCCTCGGCTTCAGTTCGTAGTTCTCAGGCTCAGTGCTCGCTGGCCGCCTAATGGTCGAGTTGGGGAAGTACATGTGCGGGGGCATGGAGCTGGGATAAGCTGGACCACTTGGCTCAGGGTAGTTGAAATCATTCACAGACCCCGGAGACGGAATGCTACCGTGAGAGGGCGAGGCCCAGCCCAGACTCGTCATGTGCGGACTCCCGCTGACGCTGTTTGGCCGGTGATCACTATTAGCAGGCGGCTCAAGCGGCTGAGGGGGGGCGTAGCCAGAGGGGTGCGAGGTCATGGATGGTCGTTGGTGTGGTGCACTGCTGAAGCTCGAGAGAGACGGCGACGTGGCTGTCGGCGAGGAGCGAGGGCTGGCCTGTGGGAAATCCCCCCGAATGTGAGGAGGGATAGATCCGTTCCCCATGTAGTAGTCGCCAGCGGAACGAGGCATGTTCAGAGGTGGCAGGTCACCAGGAGGTGGAATCGACACGGGATGATGCGCAGGGGAAGGCGTCGAGTGAACAGAGGCGTGCTCGGAGAAAACCCCATCACCAGGTACCCTTGCTCTCTCTTTGTTCTGTCTCAGGTTGGCTTCCGTCTCTGCGGCGGCCTCCTCGATGGTTCCCGTGTGATGGTTCTGATGACGCGTCAAGGTCGTGCGTCGAGTGAACGTCTTCTGACAGTTCGCATATGGACACTTGTACGGACGTTTTCCAGAATGTATTCTGCGGTGTCTAGCCAAGGAAGACGAATCGCTGAAAGGCTATCAAGATATTCGAGTCAGTAAACGGTTTATCAGCTACAGAATAAACTATGTCTGCATACCTTGCCGCATCTTTCGCACATATGCGGCTTCTCTCCTGTATGAACGCGAGAGTGCACAGTCAAAGCTGAACGTTGAATGAATTGTTTCCCACAGCCGGGCCAATCGCAAGCGTGCGGTCTTATCCCTGTGTGGATTCGCTCTAGAATGTGGTCAGCTCGATGTTTACTTTTCGCATGTATTCCCATGGAAATCTTACCATGTCTGGCGAGGTCACTACGCCGAGCGAACCCCTTGCCACAAGTCGAGCAGTGGAAGGTCTTCGGCGGAGGATCTGCCCTTTGGGGCGCACCACTGGGAATTTGAGCACTGCCGGTATAAGCTCCAGGGGCGTAAGGATTCTGCAGAACTGGCATCCCACTATTGGGTTGTCCATGAGGCGGATACCGCATGTCTTGGGCCATGTTGGACATGGGGTTTAGCGGAGCGTGCGAAGGATATGACAAGACTTGTTGATCGGAAGCTTCCGACACCCCGGGCTCAGGCTTCATCTTGGGTGACGAGGCAGGATCCAGGTTGTGGTGCACAAATTGCTGTTGAAATTGAGCTTCTGCAGCGATAGCGGCAGTAGACCCTTTTCTGTTCAAAATAGTTGTGATGTCCATGACCCGACCCAGCGACGAGCTGAGAAACGGCGGTCAAGGACACGTGAAAATGTCCTGTTCTAACTTTCCCGATGAGCAGCCGCAGATCTGTCTCTACGGCTTTTGCTGAGCCTGAAGAGGCGTCGATATGTTGATCCGCCGGCGTAAACCAACTGAGTGGCTCTCGTGCTGCCGTTATGTTGTGATTAGAAAATCGTTTCAAACTCGGTTTGCGCGCTGATTTACCAAGGTATCCGTCAGTAAAGTGAACGCAAAGAACCGGGAAAGATTGCGCTGAATTCAGCTAGATGAACAAGTGAAAATAGCTGACACATCTCGAATGTGGCACTAGAAAGGAGATTCGAGAGAACTCACCAGATGCCTCCTGAGCTGCTTGATAGGGGCGTGTCCTCCTACTAGGCGCGATGAAGGAAACGATGGCCAGACTCGTCGAAATCGTACACAGGAATGCGAGCAGACTGTAGGACGGCCACAAGTCCTGTCTTTCCTGGCGCGAGAAAAAGGACTCCTTCTTCTGACAGGCGTGATATTCTCACGATGTTGAGCGTCCTTCGCAAATCGCGAGCCCTGACTGAATCGATCAAGGAAGACTGAGACACTAGTTCAAGCCCCCTCGCAGATCTGCAACGACGGGGAAATCGCGAATACCCGCGAACTCGACAAACCAGGGATTTCAAACTTTGAATCTGTACCAAGCTTCAGAATGTTGCACGTTTCTCGCTGGGTCTCCCGGCCTACTCGGATCGGTATCGGTGGAGATTAAGAGGATGCAGGTGATTTTCCAGCGACAGACAGGTTGTATTCGGTTTCGAGCGCGTCTCAAGCGAGGAGGGTTTCGAGGAGCTGAATACCGGAATGTTCGTACTGCGAGGCGAGAAGTCACTATTCTCTGAGAGTGTACTGTTAGCAGGTTGAGCTTTCATGAAATCCATAGTAAATATCTGCACTCCGAGAGCACCAGACAGCTGCGAAAAATTGCAAAACATTGTTTGTTGAGCATTCCAAAGAACTGAGTCTACACAAAGTATAGAGGGGGATCAAGTCCGCGGAATGTTCATAGCTTCCAACCATTCTCCCCAAACTGAACGACTTCCGATGCGTCAAACGATCTCAAGCGCTCCAAGAGCGAGTCCAGCGGTTGGGCAAGAGAGTCTCATATCACAAACGAGCTGACGAGACAGCGGGGACCATGTAGAGCCCCGGCGAAACAACGAGGGGGAGCACATACGGGATAAGCAGACTCCGCGAGAGGAAAAGCAAGTCGAACAACCCGCGACAAAGAATCCGTATCCAGGGAGGAGGAAAATGAAAGAGAAGATCCTGTGCTGAAGCTGGCCGCGGATGGATAGGCTGCGAGCGGTGGCTTGGATGGAAACTAGAGGCCGAGGGAGGGAAAAACAACTGCGACCAGAAAAAAAGTTCCGTGGGTTCAAGATGATGTCGACGGGACGCTCCTCTTCCGCTTGGGAAACAGTCACCGTTGGTCGGCAGGACAAAGGTGCTTTGACGCTTCGATGGATGATGGACAGTGAAGAGAAGGAAATACGACCAGAAGATTTTGATGATGATGACAGTGGTACCAAGCAACAGCAATAATAAAGGGACGACTACTGGAGATCGAGTACCTACTTAAGTTATGATGGAAGGCTTCCAGAAACACGTTCTTCCACCATACCACTACCGTACGGGCCATTTTTTTATTTATTTAACAATTTAATCTAGTCCGTGATTTTTTAATTGCGATGATTATTATTAGCAAGTATTGAGGGCGTTTTATTTCAGTAACAATCATTTATTTGATTGGTTCTTATTATTTATTAGTTTACCGGCCTACTACTGGTTCAGGGCTGGGCAGCCTAACTACCTGAGGTAGTCTACGGACACTACTACTACTACTGGTATCAGCACGTTTCTTCTAAAACGCCCCCCTAAGAGGCCTAAGTGGCTCCCGTTGAACTTGAACTGTTTGAACTTTGAACAGGCCCCCGAAAGGAAGCTGGCGGCAGCAGAAGGTCACCATCATTTTCCCTCGGCTCCACACCGTGGCCTTCCCCGTCCCCTTAGCCGTGCGAGATTCGGCTCTGGTGGAGACCGTATTCAGACTGGTGCCGATCTGTACGACGAGTAAGGGATAACGAGCGATGTGTGCATATTGAAGACGATACACAAGATGATCCCTGGTGTTTTCTCTGGCACTCCTGTGATGCCTCAAGATTTCAAATCTCGTGGCTCATTAATTACTCTGTGGATGGGTGTTTCTCCGTCCCTCCTAGTTTATCAAATCTCCTATCGAGACTCCTAATAAGCTCGGGCATGGGCCTTCAAGGTTCATGACGCAACAGGGCGGGCGCTTTCGGTTATAATTTCTTTCTGATTCAGGAACCGAGACGAACCAGTACATGACCATGGCCCCCTGAGAAGCTTACTTTTTCTACTGGCTACCCCGGAATCTCTTAAGAGCATGCATCATTCTGCAAGGCTGACCTTCAGAGAGAAAAAGGAGAAATCAATGACAAGCGGGTGGATAATACGCCATATACGATCACTATTTTAGGACTTGCGAGACACTTTCCGCCTCCGTTCTTATTCCCCTGCTGCAAGACTACTCGCCATCGTGCGACACATGGAACCTTACAAGTGCAGACATACTAGTTTACTACCGGCAATGAGTGAGGATCAATTACACAAGACTGACGAAATGTTCTGATATTCAGAAGACTAAGAAAAATAGGGACAATGCTCATTTGTTAACAGGGAGGCCCTTGCTCAGACTTCAAGGCTGGATGCCGCTGACTTCTGACCTGGCGAGTGAGCGATCAACAACGAGCATCGTCTTCATAGGACGGCCTGACGGAGTAACCCCAGTCGAAGCCTCCAAGGGTCACAGAATCACCATTGTTTAACCCCTTCGGCGAAAATTATAATTGCGCATGGCGTCAGATTAGCGAACAGCAACGGTGGGAAAGTTAATTTCCTTCTAGAAAGTTTCGAATTGTGGATGGTGGGCACAGGGCACTAATTGGGTAACAATGCAACGCTATGTCTCTAGGCCCCGGAGTGATAGTGAGTACTCCGTAGTATGTATCTGCTCCATACCCGTCTGTTGTATCAGTCTGCACGTCACGTTGGACTGTATGCTTTACTGGGCCATCACAGACTTCACCAACTTGAGCATGAAGCCGGGGACTTCATCCACTGAGTTGATGACATGGAATATGTGGGCTCATACACCAAGGGAGCAGTGTGGGCTAGTTTCGCATAGTCCTGTTACTAACTCCCAACTCACTAGCCGCCTAGTGCTGGCTGGAGACACTAAAACCAGACTATGTGTCTTAAGTTGCATCATTGCATGGACCATCCGTATCGACGGAACAATAATAATGTTAACACCTGGTCATTCTCCCCTGATCAGGATTGATTATTGGTGAACTGTCCAAATTGGCTTCTCCACTATCGCATCAACTTCAGAGCCTACTTTAGTACAGAGACTACAGAGTACTTGACTTCAGTGCTTCACAGGACTAAGGAGTCAGGAGTCAGGAGTCAGGACACACAGGGGCCACGCGATTAAACGCCAAGGCCAGCCCGGGCTTCCGAAATCCTTCTAGAAGGAATTCAGGGACGTAATGGAAGCCTTGTTCTCTATTGTCTCTGTTCCGATTCCTCATTTCTGCATCCATCACAGCCACATGCAATCCTGCGAGTAAGGTTCTAGGAGGTCTGAACATCAACTCTCAAGGACTACAAAACTACTGACCACTCTCTTTCGTATACTTCCCCTAATCATCACAGCGCAATCTGAGTGCTGCAGAAGTCAGTGGTGGTGAATCTCGATCAACATACCATCAGCCCCATGACGCGGATCATTTCTCCCCTCTCCCTGTCGTCTTGCCTTGTACGGAATAGAACCATCTTTGACTCGTCTGATCGCCAGCAGCGATTCAGTTTATACTTTATACCGTACAGGTTTATTCGGAGCCGAAAGTAGCCGGGAAGTCTATTGTTGACACCCCATGATCAGTGGTCCCATTCATGAGGTTCAGGACTCTGCTATTGTTATTGCCTGCTTCTCGATATCTGAATACCACCGACGGAAAGTCAGTCCAAGCATTCTCATTGGACGAATTGCTTAGTCCATCAACGCCTCAGTGTTTGACGTGGTTTCAGGTTCCCAACTTTCGAGCCGTGCCTCACTGCCTCTCCGTAGGGATCCGTAGCCTCTGCCAGAACAAGGCTACGAAGATAGGGGAGAACCCACCCGCTTGTGGTGGCTGATACACGCACTAAAATAATTAAAATGGGTCTGTGTGTTTCTCTACGCTACCAGTAATTTATAAGAATATCATAATATCGATCACCATGAGACATGCTATCGGACGCTAGGCATAAATTCTCAAGCCACTCCTGTACTAGTACCGACTGCGTAATGTTCTAGAAAACTTCCATGGATGGGTTCGTCTGTATCCCCTTTTTGCGTTATTTCTTACATCCTCGTCACTCTGCTGTTCTGAGTGATAGATACTCATGAGCTGTTGTACTACTTCGTACACTGCTAGACTGTACAATCATCCAGCTTTGACCGCCATTGCAGGTCTGCAAGCAAATATGTTGTTTAAGTTCATAGATGCAGTACTCCGTAGCAACACAACACACCACAACACAACATACAGTACAACAGCGTGATACAGCAGGAGTAATCATGTAGCTTTCCACCCAACCTGCACTGCCGCAATCGCGGCAAGCCACACCGGGCATCCTGCGATTCTCCCTCACCGTCCAACCGGCGAAGATTGCGAGATTGAGAGCACCCGATTGGATTAGAACGTCTGCTCAGTGACGGATGGCACAGGGGTAAAGGGAAGGTGGACGAGACCAGGTACCTAGATACTCCCTCGCCAGCAGTCAGCACTGCTTGATAGATAGTCCGTGGAATAGGAGTACTGCTATCCATAGTTCATACTCCGTACTCGTTGGTGATACCATTCCTAAATCAACAAGTGAGCCCACCTATCACCCACTTTAGTCGCACAGTCGGCCTTTTTTCTACGACAGACTTGGTTAGTAGGTGGATAGGATGGATCGTTCCCTTGCCCCATAAACCATACTACTCATCGAGAGGATATTATTAAATCAAAAAAGGAAGACTTCTGGAAGACGCGTAGAATTTCCCTGTCTCGCAGGAGGATCCACCAGCACTCAACTGCTGCAGAGCAAATCAAGAACGTTCTGGCGTATTTCCTTTTTTGGATTACGATGATGTCCATTGCCGCGATCTGTCTCACTCTTGAGTCTTGACTACTAGTCTAGCCTTGCCCCTTTTTCCCTATTCTGTAGTATGCACGTCTTTGTGGCCTTGGCTTGGATGTACTTTTGTCATGGACTTGTCGATCGTACCAGAAGTCTCTATAGGAGCATGATGCCAGGTCAACTGCATCGTCTGATTTCCGAGCCGTAGGAGACAAGAGTGTAGCTCCACTCGCATTTCATGTCTCTCACGGGATCTATAGATGTTATTACGATATTGTTGGCTTTGTATGTGCCATACTGTATACAGGTCCATCTAGTATATATATATATTGAAAGTTGAAATGTCCGCATGGAGCAAACCCCCGCTTAGTTCATTCTGACAAAGAACATGAAGGAGTGAACAAATACTTCCAGACATATAGTCAGCCATAGCTGCCAGAGCTATTTATCATGTTCAATGGAAGAAATGCAGAAAAGTGACAAGTATATATGTATCTGCGGCCTATGTCCGACTGCTAGTATTCCTGCATATTTGCTTCCAGCTCGACTCACACTAGAAAGAAGCTCTTGTTCCAGATCGCTATTCGAGAAATATCGAATACACAGAGAAAGATGGAAAGAGAATCATCCATGTATAAAAGTCAGTGTAAGAGCAATCGTCTAAACTTCAAACCTGGATAGTTGTACTGTGCTTGTCAAAGGCTTGGCATGTTTGTTGTTCTTTACATCACAACCACCGCGGAATTGAATTGCTTCATCGTAACAGTAACTGATCTCGCTTCCACAACCTCTATCTACAGAGCAGCGATGGATAAAGCCAGCTTGCTATAAGATGTAAGAAATGCTAAGACCATAATCAGCTTCAGCGACTCTATGTTCGCGACTTCGATTGCTTCCACAGGCCTTACGCTAACATGTTTGTCCAGACAACCTCGCATCAGCCACAGGCAAGCGCACTTGCATTGATCCATCGCAGAGACATATTGAGGCACGTATCGACAAATCCTCGACCTAAATCAAGATGAACTCTCTGCGGACAACTTCATTTCGCTCGCTTGCCCCCCTCCTCCGCCGCCTCGACACTCCCCGCGCTCATTCCACCTCCTCCGTCTCCGCAAATGAACTCTCGCATTTCTCCGCCCTCGCCAGCAGCTGGTGGGATCCCGTCGGCCCTTCGCGCATCCTCCATCTCATGAACCCCCTCCGCCATGACTTCATCGCCTCCTGCCTGGCCGAGTCCCTGCCCGCGCCTCGTCAGACCACACCCACCACCACTAACACCCTMCGCTACCTCGACGTCGGCTGCGGCGGCGGCATCTTCGCTGAGTCCCTCGCCCGCACAATCCCCACCTCCGCTTCGTCACCGACAACCCAAACCCGCGCGGGCTCAATCACAGCCATCGATCCCTCCCCAACCCTCATCAAGATCGCGCGAGAGCACGCCCGCCTCGACCCAAATGTAGATTCCCACCTCCGTACCGGCCGCTTCAGCTACCAGAACCGCACCCTCGAGGACCTCGTCGCGGAGGTCCTCCGCCAAGATACCCCGAGCACCAACTCCGTACCCGAGACAGCGACGGAGGCCCAAGCAGACAGGAAATTCGACGTCGTGACCCTCTTCGAGGTCCTCGAGCATGTCGACTCAAGCGCGGGTTCCTCGCCCCTCGCGTTCCTGACAGACTGCCTTCGACTCGTCAGACCGGGCGGCTGGCTGATCGGGTCGACGATCGCGCGCACCCTGCCCTCGTGGCTGGTGAACCAGGTGATCGCCGAAGCGCCGTGGCCGATTGGCGTCGTGCCCCGCGGAACGCATGAATGGAGCAAGTTTGTGAATCCTGATGAGCTGGAGGGGTGGATTCAGGAGGGGTTGATGCGGAGTGTGGATGGGGCTGCGGCGCGTGCGGGCAGTGATGCGCTGCAGGGTATGAAGTGGAAATGTACGGGTGTCATGTACTTCCCTGGCTTAGGGTGGAAGTTGGTTCCCGGGTCGGAGAGTTGGGGCAACTACTTCTGGGCTGTGCGGAAGGGTGGATGCTGAGCTGGAGGTTCGTGTACTGGGCATGTACAACACTGATGCTACTTGTATATTATGTATAGACCTGATTTGGATATCAGACATGGCAACGGAAGTACCATCCCTCTCACTGAGGACATTAGACCATATTGGCTCTGATTCCAGTATGAGCACTGACTATTCTGCTAGAAAGTGCTTGATTCTGGTGGAACAATCCACACAAGGGCGAGCTGTCAATGATCTCCAGCGTGTTATGCGCAGGGGTTCTCCTCATTAGCGTAGGCTAGAAGGCACGCAATTCCACTCGCAACGCGAACGAGGAACTGTCCCTCAGAGGACTTAAGGTACCAGAGGGCAGTGTCATTAGACCTGACAAGCAACTGGTCTAAATCTCCTCTGCATAACTTCCTGATCAACGGATCAAGGTACTGCGGTGGGACGGCGACAGAGAAGTTCTCCTCGCAGGTCCTCAATGGACATACAACCATGACGGCTGATGTCTGAACTACTTCTTCCCCTTCCCCCTGCCCTTCCGCTTATTGTTGGCCGGGGGGTCCGGAACACTGACTGTCCCCTGCACCACGTCCTCACCTTGATCCTTGAGCCGTTCCGAGCCGCTGATGAAGAACGTAAGGTCACGATTTTGCTCGGTCAAGTCTGCATTTGCAGCTTTGAGCTCCGCGACTTCGGCCGTCAAATGTTCGATACGCTTCATAAGGCTCTCGTTCATCGTCTTCTCTTCCCGCCATTCCTTCTCCATCTTGCGCGTCATAGCCTCGAACTTCTCCGCTCGTTTCTCCGCTCGAGCCTTGTCCCGCTCGAGACCGGGGAGGGTCTCTGCAGCCAGTTTATCGTACTGCGCCTGCAGCGCCCGTAGACTGGCTGTCGCCTTTTCGGCCGTTTCTTGTGCTATGGAGGCCGCAGCGGTAGCCTGCGATGCCTTGTCGGCAGCTCGCTCGACGATTTCCTCGAAGTAGGCGCGCTGACTTTCCAGCTGGCTTGTGAGGAGGTGTGTGTACTCAACGCTCATGTTCTCGAGCTTTTCGCGGGGCACCGCATCGGTCCAGTCGGGCGGATCAAGTGCGCTATTGTCCGCTGCAGGTAGTTCCACCAGCTTGCCGTCTGTCTTGCTCTGGATGATCCTGTGGACATACGCATCGCCTACATAGCTCCACACACGTTGACTGGCAAGATCCATTGCAAACGCATGCGAGGTTTCCTTGTAGTGTGCGAAGGCGTGCGCTCCGTCATAGCGACCGCAGCCGACATTTCCACAAATGAGACAGACCCAGAGGTTGATCTCGGAACGACAGACGCTGCACTCTGCCGGCTCATCCCCGTAGGCCGCTCCCTGACTGCCCCTGCGGAAATCATCTTGTGTATATCGACACACCGGGCATCCACTTCCTTTCCACTTCTGTAGACAAGTGCAATGAAAGACATGTTGACATAATATCGTCAACAGCCCCGTCGTTTCATCCATGCGTTCCAAGCAGACAGGGCAGGTGGGTAACTCGATGAGCGCGGGCGTGGGAGGCGCAAGCGGCTTACTCGAGAGGGTGGCAGTGGGTATGGAGCTCGGCTGAACAGAGGTGGATATGACCGTCCGCTGGGGGCTTGTCGGAACATGCGAAGCAGAAGGTGCACTCTGCTGGGAAGCTGAGACGTCAGAGTCGGAATTGACGGCTTGAATCTCAACCGTCTTCACAAAAACGACATGGCACGTTTCCGGCTGTCGAGGGCATCAGCATGCGACATGCGACACAAATTGAACTAAGCACTAAGCCGACGACACTCACCTCCATGCTATTAAAGACTTTACCGTTCCACTCCTTCTGCCACTCCTGCGCCTTCTTCCCGCTCCGAAACTTCATCAGAACCATATACCGATTCGCCCTTGCCGTCCTGATCATTCGAAAATGGCTCACTTCATCCATTGTCGCCTCGCCCACGAAGCCCAGAAAGTCAGAAGGGGACATGTAAGATGGCACCGCAAGTATACACAGAGTCGTACAATCCTCATCCTGGCGCAGAGAAAGTGAGTGGCCCTTGGCCGGTGCATCCTGGCGCCCACTGAGCTGATCATACGGCCGTCTGGCCGCCGCCGCCGACCCTTTCAGCTCCAGGGGGTAATCCTCGCCGACGAGGAACGGCGTCTCCTCTGCATCTCGGTAAAGGTGCACAATACCCCAGATACTCTCCGACGTCTGCTGGTCAAGTGGTATGTATTTCCCCTTGGTGCGTAGCCCCCCGAGAATATCGGTGCCGATCCCGGTCGCAACGGGGTTGTCCTTGACGTCTCGCTTGCCAATCCGTTTTGAAGCCGTTGCGCTTTCGTGGTCCGAGGGTACCATATCAACGCATTCGATTGATATCTTGTCTAGTCGGAGATCGTTCTCAAAGTTGCTCGCACTCGTGGGTGATTTCGTGTAATGGTGGGGTACAGTAGGATGCGTCGTTGCTATCGCGCTCGCCGCTGGATTTAGCGTTAGAGCCGCATGATGCATTTCAGAGTTCTGCAAATTCTAGGCTATGAGACGTACATTGGGAAGAAGTAGTTCGAGACTGGTTGCTGTTATAAATCGTTGATATCGACTGTCGCGCCCGCTTCTGAAACGGGAGCAGAGCTTCACATGCGGAGTCAAATGATAGAGACGTAGGTGATCGATGGTCGACACTCTGAGAGGCGACTCCAAGACCGGACTGAGGATGAGCAAACAATTCAATAGCCAAATGATAAAAGTAGGAGGGCATCCCGACCGATGCTCATTCACATTGCCGAGTTGCTCGTAGTATTGCAGCTTGATTGATTACCTCACATTTCCAGGATATATTGTTGCTTATCACTCCGCTTTCGGTTCCTTGGTTGACACCGGAGTCACGTGCATTGTGGCAAAGAGCATTTGACAAGGGGCTACTTCGTACTCACCAGATCATACGACGGAATAAGAGAATGGGGTTGCCGAAGGATTATTTGTGAACTTCTACAAGCTTCTACAAATTTGCCTGAACTGAGTGTTACCAGAGATATCAACTGGTCCATTGGATTCTTAAATAGAGTATGTAATGCGCCCTAATCGAGGCGATAAGAAAGAAAGGTATGCCCAGCGTAGCCTTATCAATAGAAACCATAAGCCATCCAAACGCCATGCAGGCCATTCAAGCCGTAAAATGTCGTCAAATCAGTGAAAGAAAGCCTTCTCCCGTTTAACATCCACCGCGCAGACGCAGCACCAGGTGGAGCGTGCTCTCCTTCTGAATGTTGTAATCGGAGAGGGTCCTCCCATCTTCCAACTGCTTACCAGCGAAGATGAGACGCTGCTGGTCCGGGGGAATTCCCTCCTTGTCTTGGATCTTGCTCTTCACGTTGTCGATTGTGTCAGAGGACTCGACCTCCAGTGTAATGGTCTTTCCGGTGAGAGTCTTGACGAAGATCTGCATACCACCACGCAGACGGAGGACAAGATGCAGTGTGGATTCCTTTTGGATGTTGTAATCAGACAAGGTACGGCCATCTTCAAGTTGCTTTCCGGCAAAGATGAGACGCTGCTGGTCTGGGGKAATGCCCTCCTTATCCTGAATCTTGCTCTTGACATTGTCGATGGTATCTGAAGACTCCACTTCTAATGTGATAGTCTTTCCGGTGAGAGTCTTCACGAAAATTTGCATACCACCACGCAGACGAAGGACTAGGTGAAGAGTCGATTCCTTCTGAATGTTGTAGTCGGACAAGGTACGGCCGTCCTCCAGCTGCTTACCAGCGAAAATCAGGCGCTGCTGGTCGGGAGGGATGCCCTCCTTGTCCTGGATCTTCGACTTAACATTATCAATGGTATCACTGGATTCCACCTCGAGGGTGATGGTCTTGCCAGTGAGGGTCTTGACGACTGTTGTGAATGAGTCAGCGAGCCATCCTAAAATGTGGCCACCAGGGTGGCGAAATTCGGGAGACGGCGAAGTAACTTACAGATTTGCATGCCACCACGAAGACGGAGAACCAGGTGCAGAGTAGATTCTTTCTGAATGTTATAGTCGGAGAGAGTGCGGCCATCCTCGAGCTGCTTGCCAGCGAAAATCAAGCGCTGCTGGTCAGGAGGGATGCCCTCCTTATCCTGAATCTTCGACTTGACATTGTCAATAGTGTCGCTGGACTCGACCTCCAAGGTGATGGTCTTGCCCGTGAGAGTCTTGACGAAGATTTGCATGGTGAGGACGATGCGAGGAGTGTTTCAGTCTGTTCGTTAAAAGGACGATGATGGAGTATTCAACAGCGGAGGAAGATATTCAGGAGATAGAGGAATACCACAAAAGGGAGAGAGATATAGGGGAGATGATGAAATGATGAAAGAGCAGGAGCGAGAGATGGAAGGAGGAGAGGTTTAAGTAGTCATGAGAGAGGTGAGGGGAGGAGGCGGAGGCGAAGCGCCTTAGTCAGGCCAGGCCAGGACCAGAAACGGCGAGAGTGAATCAGTGATGAGATAGGCGGGATAACGTGACGCAAGGAAAGGTTGAAAGAAGGAGCGGCAGGAACATTTTTCTGGCACCGCCTGGCGCTTTCCCTGGGTTCTGTTCCTCTGGCCATTCACAGCCTGCGCCTGGCCAAACTCTCTACAGATACCTGAGGGAAACTGCTAGAAAACTGCCTTTCCGGTCGTTGCTCGGCCCGATGACTCAAAAGGCGCCTGAAGTACCTCGTAAGTACCTTGTATCGTAGTTAGTAATAACGGTCCTCTCTTGATGACAAAGGAGCTTATTCTACAGCCTCCTAAGGTTCTCTGAAGTGAGGATATGTCGATACGGAGTACAACGGGGGCGGAAGTTCATCAATCCTTAACCTTTGCCCCTATTCGAAACCTTCCAATCTCTTTTCCTAGAGTCCCCGTTATTTGCAAAGCTCGCGACTAGACATATCGCTATTTTCAGTCTATCACTAGTCCGGAAAGGATGTTCCTACGTAGAGTCTGTCTCCGTTCACACCCGCCACTGACGCCACTGGTTGGTCTCACACCATCTCGACACCCATG